TTTTATAAGTAGAATTAAACAACAATAATAAAAATAATCTGAGTAAAATATTAATTAAAATAAATTTAAAGGTATTTTGGTTAGTTCGATTTAAAGTATTTTTAATCATTTATATTTAGTTCTCTTTAAAAAAAAAACATTATATATCCCAAAATTCAGATAAATATGTTATTTAAATAAAATATATAATATATAATTGATTTTTGGCCATTAGATATGGATGTGGATGGGATACTTTTCCTTAAAATAAATCTCTGTAAATTAATCTCTGAAGTGAGATACGTCATTTTGAGGTGGTAATCCCCTTTCAGGCCCACACCTTTTTGGAAATGAGATATTGTCTGAATTTTCTCTCAATTGAGAGAGAGAGAGATGCATGAGCACGTGGATAAGTATGGGAGAGAGGAATGATTGGAATTTGAAGTATTTTTTAAAGAAATTATAAATTATTGTATTAACAATTACAAGGGGAATGATTGGAATTTGAAGTATTTTTTAAAGAAAATATAAATTATTGTATTAACAATTACAAGGGGAATGATTGGAATTTGAAATATTTTTTTAAAAAAATATAAATTGTTGTATTACCAATTACAAGGGGTTTACTAATAATAGATAGATAGTTTCCATTTGAGGCATAGGGCAGGCACATGGACATGGGATGGAAGAATGGTTGGATTTTGGAAGATCTTCGGATTAAAATATAAAAATATTGCATTTTTGTGGGGAAATAATGTCACCCACTATTATTATAATCGGTCATGTACTATGGAAAGAAATGGATGTTTCTACACCCAAAACACAATTAAGACTTAAGGGCCCATTTGGTTCCCTAGAAAGAATTTTCTTGAAAATTCTAAGGATTTGAGGTTCAAGGGAGATGGAGGGTACGGGGTTTGTTGGAGAGAGATGATTAGAGGTGAATGAAGATTTATTTTCAAATGATAAGTTTTCTACTTGTTTATTTATTTTTTTTTTGGTGATTAATTGGGGATGACATGCCCCTACCGATATTTTTCAAATAAATTAGGGAGTTAGTTTTTTTTTTTTTTTAAAGTGTAAGTGAATGGTGTCAGCAGCAAGATTGAAAACCACAACGTGCAACAAGACATAGGGTGCTACCACCATGAACTCAACCTCTTTGCTAAGACGTCAAATAGGGGACACTAACCAACACGCCAAACTGAGATAAAAGCAGAGATGGCACGTAGATTTCCCCAATTTGAGTAACCATAGAAGAATAAGAAATTAGTTTTCAAGGACCCACACAGGAAAGGAAATTTGTTTGATCAAGATGCGCTCTCCCCGTTTCAGTCCGTGCTTATTTGGCAAGGATAGAAGGTTATATGACTTGGTCATAGGACAGTGGTCGTTGATCTAGGTCGAAGGGTGGCACGGGTGCAGGCGTTGCAAGAAGTTGCAGGTGATCAAAGTCGAGCTGAAAGCTTAAAATAAGATCTTTGCCATATCACAAGTTGAACTTTAGTGACTCCAAGGGCGGAAATGGCCCAGTCGGCCAAGTTCTAAAAAACTAAGGCTTTGGCCACAAAATGTGGCTCGAGGGCCATGACAGGGACACCCCGGTCTGACCCTCATTTTCTTTATTTATTTTATTTTTTTTTTAAATTTTTGTTGGGGCCATTTTGCCCGACCCATTGCCAGCCCTATTGACCCCTTTATCTTCCTCAAGAGGAGTCAATGGGACCTTAGCATCTGCTTCTTGGGCTACCTCAAGATAGAGGAGGTTTTTTGGTGTCAAATATCGAGAATAAAATGGCTTAAGGAAAGTGACCAGAACTTTTCCATGTGATTGCAAATGTAAGAAGAAAATCAAATAATTTACAAGGGCTTAGAATCGCTAAAATAGTCAAGCGGCCCCAAAAAAATTAGTGAAGTGATTCAACCCACAATTGTGCTAATAAAGTGAATAAATTTTAGAATCCTTTCATTCTTAGATACTTCCTCAAGAATGTACAAATCATGGTCTGGGTTTGTAATCCTAAATAAGCAAGGGATTTTTTTGTAACTTGACCCACTTAAGTCACTTGAACTAAATGATTACATATTTGTTCTAAGTTCCAAACTGAGAAAATACTTACATTACTATGATGTTGGTTCAAGTTTTCAGTCCAGAATGAGCAATATTTTGGTAATTTCACCCCAAGTTATTTGGGCCAAAAGAAATAAGTAACCCTACTTGTTTCACATTACAAACCCGTAACAAGATTTTTTTAATGAAAAATATTCCAAGTTTAGAACTCCAAACATAGAGTTTATTTAAATCATCTGTTAGTTACTTAACTAACCAAAGTATCAATATGCCCTCACTTATAGTTTGGCCATTTTTCTCACAAAATACTTGAGAAGGTTCACAAGTGATAATTTTTAAAATGGACGCGATTCCACAAACAGCATCCCCTAAACCATCAAATATCCATCTTGTAGATGGATGTTAAGGCTGAGTCCCTAAATTCAAAGTAAGGCGCAAATGCAGCTAGTGTCGAAGGATGTTTTTTAATATCAGAAATCATTGTGACGCCTGATATTTATTTTGATATCTAGTGATAAAAATTTAGAGTTTTAAAAATAGTATAGATCGAGTAAATCTATGTGTATTTGAAAATATTGAAAATTAGCCGTCTAAAAATGCATTAATGGATATACTATTTCTAAGATTTGAAATCCATTTTTGTTTCATGTCCATATATCTTCAGGTTGAAATGATTGATTTGAGGATTTTTGAGCAACCTCGTCTAGTGAATTTTTGAGGTGCGCCTTAATTTGATTGTTTGGGGCCTCACCTTTATATAAACTTTTTTCAAACTTAAAATTGTCGGTGTTCAATTATAGGGTGTAGTTTGTATAGAGCCTAGACTCTAAACCAGTGTTTAAAAAAACGCCGAGTCGAACCGGACTCGCCCGGTTCGACTCAAAAATCGCCATGGACGGATCGAATCGGCGAAAAAAAACGGGAATCGTCCTGTTCTAGAGAGAACCGGACGATTCTATACAGTGACTCGCCGATTCACTATACGGAATCGGCGAGTCCGTACGGAATTTTTTATTTTTTCTTTTTTCTTTTCTCCTTTTTTTTTA